TTTTATTATTTTATATATCTATCTTCACCTTTCTGTCCTTGTTAAATTATAGAAAAATGATTAAAAATAATTCTTTTTTGTAATTTTTAGGGGTTGATATGGAAACTTATCAAACTAATGAAATTTCAAATTTTTTTTTGTTTATGTGAAACATAGTGAAAATAATTTATTAATATAACCATAATGAACATGCTTGTATCGCTATTAAAAAAAAAAACTATGAATGACAACAAAAAAAAATGCTTCCACATTGCTATCAAATCTTTTATTGTTAATTTTATCTGTGACAAAAATAAAAGTCGCCGCGGAACATATACAATTAATAGTAACAAATTGTTGTCATCACTAAAAAATAATACTATTAAATATTTGCCACATGGCACAACAACATCTGTTTCGTGCCTCCACATACCCTTCAGGTGCCTGTACATCGACTCCCTCACATAACATGCCATAGTAAGTTGCCATTTCATGCTATTGTGGTGAGAAAAGTGTCCCAAGCTGGTTTGAACATGGGACCACATGAGGCAAATGAAGGAAGACAATGCTTCATTGAAGACAAATGTAATCCTCGTCCATAAGTGACGACATTTTTTATATATACCAGTATAATAATCAATTGTTTCAAACAATTCTACGTTGCAAATGCTACTCATTCCAGAGCATTAACATGACACACTCATTTGATTAAATAACTTTGTGAAGAATGCTAGTTAATATATGCAAATTTCTCTCAACTCTGACCTCTTATTTTATAATTAAACTTTGCTTACCAGTTTAAATTAAAATAAATATATGCAATTTTTTAGCATAATATAAAGCTATTGAAATGAGTTATTTTTTGAAAAATTAAACTAAAATGAAGATATAAATGAAAGTAATTATAATGTATAATGTTACCAACTGAATTATATTTAGGAAAAAACTTATATACTTAATCTTATATATTTAAGATAATTTTTTCAATTAAATCAAGATAGTACATATGCACTCCCTCCATTTCAAATTATAAGGCACTTTTAAAGGAGTTTATTTATCTCATAATATAAGATATTTTAGATGGATTAATGTTTTATTAAACGCATTAATTTTAATATTACCCTTTCTCTCTTTATAATTAACTTTCATCTCTTCTTTTTTTAATATATTAAATGACGGGTATTTTTAAAAACTTATTATTTTTATTTTACAAAGATAAGATTGTTAGGTGTATTTAATAAAATTTATTGATATGTGAGATTCTGTCTAAAAATATTTTATAACTTGGGACGAAAGGGGTATCTTTTATATATTATTCATTCTATAACAAACTCTTATTATCAATATTATTGACACATTAAAGCCCACATGTATTGATTTAATAAATAAAATTATATTGAGTATGTAAAGCTAAATATATAAATCTTGCCCTTATGTTTATATAAATTTGTGTTACACACGCACACACATCACAGTTTAATTATATAATTAGATATTTTAATGGCTATTTATGATAAAAGTAAATTCTTATGATTTTATTATATGAGTTTATATATAGATTTTGAGTTTGCTTTCAATTAACAATAACTCTTAACTAAAGTTATTGACTTATTTTTACATTACATTTTACTTTTTTAATTATTTTTTATTTTTAAATGATAAATTTATGAGATAATTAGACACAATATTACCTAGTTTTTTTTTAATATTTACATCTTGAGATAATATCAAACAAAAAATCATATAGCATCACATAGATATATTTCATATATTCTAAAAACTAAATGTAGAATTGTTAAATATGTCATTCATCTTCTTCTCATCTTCCTCTTCCTAGTAATCAAATTGGGAACCTCCATGAGCATCAAGTTTCAAAAATTAATGATTTTGAATTGAAAAATTAGATTAGTTAAAATATCATTTTGCAGATGAATAAATTTAACTATTATATATCTAATTATTATAGACAACTAGTGTTATTATTTAAAATATTAATTTAATCATAAAACATTTGAAAATAAAGACTCATTAGTATAATATATACATTCGAAGTTAAAATATCAAATAATAAATTTTTGAATGAATTTATTATTTTATATAGGGGTGTGCCTTAGTCAATTCAATTAAATTTGATCTTGAATTCACCAAAACCAACAAAAGCCGAGATGATAAAGCATATATGATAATTGAAAGAAAAACTATATATATATATATATATATCACTAGCATAACATAAATATTTTAATGTATATATTTATATTCAATTTTGCATATATATATATATATATATATAACAAAAATAAATATATACCTTCACTTTTTAAGTTTTACTCATAAATTTTTCATGGTACAGAATAATTAATTATCATGTCTACAATAAATTTTTAGCAATTTCCTTTTCAATATAAACCATCATTAAATTGGCAAAAATTTCATCTCTTATTTGAGTATTGAATAATCTAAATGCATTATTGAGATCTAAAGTTGTGTTTAATCTGAAAAACCTCTATTACCTGCTTATTAAATTTACTATTTAATCCTTTTAATTGATAATCATAGTAAATAAATATATCGATAAAGTAATGATGTTCTGTTGTTACAAATTTTTTATATCTATGAGATCTAAGTATATCATAATAAAAATTATTCATCTAATTAATTTAATAGCTTGGTTATTATAGAAAAAAGTAATTTTTTATCTTAACTATAACCCCTTAACTTTTAAATAAGTAATTTTATGATAGATATCAAGCACATACATTCAATATATTTTAAATTTTTGTTATAATATTTGATAAAGTTTATTAATAATAATTCTTATAATTTCTTTCATCAATCATAAAACAAAGACAAAATTAAATGATATCAATGCTTTGAAAGCAACTGTAGCATTATCTTTTTAAAAAATTAGTAGATTATATGATAACGTATATTTTTAAGCTACTAAAATAGTTAGATTATACATGTGTAAAAGACTACCATAAAATTGAAATGAAAATCCGATCTAGTGTCTTAAAGTTTTATAATGTGCTAATCTAGGAGTTGAAAATATATAATCTCTATATTCTATTAAAAAAAAATTAAAAAGTTAGGGGAGACCATGGCCTATGCTAGTTCCCCTGTCTCCACCCTTAAAAATCAATGAACTGAATGGGCATAAATATTTAGACTGAATCAAATTGAACATTATTTGATGAACAAACTTAACCTAAAATGTGGATGGGCTTCATTATTTAGTGCAATTCATTAGCATTAAATAATGTCTATCTTCAAACGGTTTTATTATTTTAAAGTATCAATTAATCATAAAATAAATAAAATAAAAACTCATTATCTTGTTCTATGTATTATAATAAAATTACTGCAATACAATAAAATTAATGTGTTGAATTATTAAATATTGAATTAAATAAAAAATAAAAAATTATGATATTGATATTTAATTACTATTTATTATGATTCTTTTAGGAGTGATTGTTTTCGAAATTACACTTTTAACGATAATTTTTATGTGGCTGCTGAAATTTATATTTTTTAGTAGCAATTAGCAAAAGTTGTTATTGAAAGCTCACAATCGCCAGAGGTATGTTATACTTTCAGAGGGTGCTGTAAAAGATGCCTCAAATTATTCACTTTTAGCTGCGGTTGTTTAGAGTCGCCGCCGGAAGTTTAGCAATGAATGATAGGCAAAGAGGCCAAAAAGGCAATCACTGGAACACCGGAAGATCAGTTTTTGGATGTTTGTGGGATTGCTAATTATTATGTGAAGTTTTCGTTGCTCCTTTTAACAAGAATGCGAATGAAACAATATTAACGATATTGAAGACAAGGCTGTGTGGCCATTATAATAATAATAATCAAAACATTCTTTTTATTTTAAATTTCAGTATTTAAAATATAAGATATTATAAAAATAAAATTTTATTGTTGATACTTTTTTAATATTACTCTTTTTATATATTTTTTATTTAATATTATTGTACAAATAAAATATTAAATAAATAATATTTTTTAAAATTTATTAATATATGTAATTTTGTATAAAAATATCTTAAGAGTTGAACAGATGAAGTATGAAAGAAATGTCCGGAAGCACGTGACACCATTTTCCATTTCGAAGTACAGTAAATTTCTGAGTCAGCAAAGTAATTTTGGTATCTCGATTATTGTTTAAAACTTAATAACTTAATTTACTTTATTCTATTAATCGTTGATTTTACTGCCAATCAACTGCTTAGCTTCTATTTGGACATGAACAAATGGAGTCTGATCCACCATAGCTTCAATTACTTAATACTTAATTCAGGCCACATTAATTTTCACCGTCCATAATTTCGTTTCATTCTGATTTTATTACTTACCTTACAAAACGTGCTCGAATTTAAGTTGTTATCCTCTACTGTTGAAATGGCCCAAGAAAATTATTACGCGTGTATTTTGTTGCTCGATCACACCTAGTTACCATAAAACCATACTATAAAAAAACTAACCCTTGTTATTTTGTTTTTATTTATAAATAGAATAACATATTTTAATAAACATTTATTTTTCATAAACTCATAATTTTCGTTCACGACAAACAATTAATGCAGCAGTGTTTTGATCAAAGACAATGATATTTTAGTCTAATTGTTTTATTTTTAAATATAACTATTATAATTAATCAATATTCTTAAAGTAAACGACAATTATTATTTTTTAAACATAGAGGCAGAGGAATATGCTTTGGCCTAAATAGATGTAAACTAACTTATTTTTCGGGAAACTTAGCCAAAAGCTGTCAGGTTAATCCCTGTCAACCTTGTATGGATATGCTGCCATCTCTCTCTCACACTCCATTTTTAATTTTTACCTTGCATTTGCTCTTCATTAGCGTCAACGAGATCGCGTGAGGAATGTAACTAATTTCGAGACAGAGGATTTGTCCCCAGTATATGGAGCTAATAGCCAGATACGACTATTTTGAATGACAAGAAAATCATGTTATATATATATATATATATATCCATCGGTCAATGGTTCTTTCTTAAGAACGTTGGTTAGTTTAATTCCTGACGATATGCAATCATACAAAAGTCTAGGCCATTCAAAAAGAAGAAGAAGATATAGAACTGCCTATAAATATTCGCGTTCTTGTCTTCAGAGGTTTTACTACAGTATCTGCGAATCAGGAACAAGCCAAAGTAATGATCTCCTGAAGGTTCTGCGGGCGTGCTCATCAAATCATCAAATAGAAGTAAGACTAACACATATTCGCACACATTAGTTTTCCCTTGTCGGTTCGACAAGAAGAGGATATTATTGCAACCAGTAACAATGTTATTCATGCAACACTTGCTCAACTGATCGTTCACCGTACTAATGGAAATCAAAATTTCACTGTTCATTTCTACTGAGTATCTGCATAGAACCTACCATTCGAGAAGCTGGTTGACATCCCTTGATGAAATCAGAATAATTGACATCGGCAGTACTTGAGGCGCCAGTGAAAGGAACACCCACGGGCCTACTAGCCCCAGTTTGTTCCAGAGTCTGTACTTGTTTCTTTAAGAACTTGACGTAATGTATAGCTTCGTCTAACATGGAAGCCGTGTCCATTTTCGTCCCGCCGGGAACTAATCTCTGCAGAATTCTTATTCTCTCGCTTATCCTCTCCCTCCTGTGCCTTGCCGCCACGCTCTGAGGGTCCTTTGAAATCTTCACATTCCTTCGCTTCGGCGGCTTCACCGACTCCGGGTCTATATGAATGGGCTGCATCACCGCTATCCTGAATATCATTTCTCTCATGGCCGCCATTGAATTCCTCTTGTCCGAAGCGCGGGGGAAGGCATGCGATGTATTGGGGTTATATTTATTTCTGACTCTCGTGGCGTGAACTTCGTCAGAGTGAGCCTGAAGAAAGACTGGCGGTGCCACGGATTGCTGAATAACTGGACCGTTGACAAAATCAGGAGCCTCGTTAGGGTTGAGGGATGTGGGGAGAGTAGTGGCAGCAATATTAGCAGTCTCAGCTTCAGGGTTCTCAGTGGGAGTGTTGAAGAAAGGATAGCAGAACCGATCAGCTGGAAACTTCTCCATCTGCATCATCATCGAAATCATGTCCATGCCGGTGCAGCTTTCAGGCACTGAATTTTTGAACAAGTCCATGTCCGTGAGAGACATGGAGGGATGGAAAGAGGGAGGTTGGGGGAGAGGGAAAGAGGAGGAAAAAAAAAGTGGAGAAGGTCGGTCAGAAGTAGCAGGGTATGGGGAAAAGAGAAACCAGCAAGAGTTGGTAATTGTATCGAATGATGAGATGGAGAAGCTAGCAGACTGGCTCAGACTGATAGAAAAGGAGATAGAAGAATGAATGAAATAGTAGAAAAGGGCAGAGGACTATTATATCTGACTCCGAGATCGATCAGCCAACAACAGCACCAAGTCCAGGTTCACCCTAAGTGGGAGCCCTTTTGTATAACAACTTGCACCTGTATGTGTTATCTATTTGATTTTGAAAGCGTGAATGAAAAAAAAAAAAAATCAGCAGGCGAACCCTCATTTATGATCGATTTCAATTTTATATAATTGCGGCCGATAGAGACCGCCCATCACGTGTTTTCGGTCCCCTTCTTCTTCACCGTCGATCTTATTGGCTCTGTGACAAGTCAAAGCTCAAGGTATATGAAATCAATGGTTGAATGTCGGTGCGTGAACAACTTCGTTTTCGTGTTGACTCCAAGACAAAGCTCTCGGCTTGAATTTGTTGCCATCGAAATTCTAACTTTGAAAGATAAAGCCCCAAGCAGACCCACTCTCACATGACATGTGTCAGAAAAGCTTTGGAAGGCCGAAAAGAAAACATCTATAATCTTGCAGCCAAAACACCCTTCGTCACCGGCGAAAGGTGCCGCGGAGATGAGATAGAGTGAAGTGGACCCGACTGCAATCAATAATCAAGATATTATATGCTACTATACTAGTCTATATGAAGATAAGAATCCAAAAAAGGCAAGTTGAAAGTAAAAGAACGTGTTCGGGGTTAGATCTCAACGAATTACTGCAATATCGGGAACGTACACTTTTCTAGAAGTGACTTGGGAGGTGGCGGTCAGGCGTAATTGTGGACCCTCTTGCTGCTCCTACTGCCCCCCACCTTTCATGTTCTTCACCTTCTATCTTCCCCGTCGAAAGCTAATAGTCACCAACTTCGCATTATTTTATACTCCTATCTTTTGGGCTTTCATATATAAAAACGCGTGCAAGCTTCACAATAAATATTTCAACATAATAGATCAATCAAAGCCAAGCCTGAACCCACCCACACCCTATGAATCCGCTTTTGTATCTGCTGATTTGTTCTACCCTGATTAAAATCTAATATCCAGTGCATTATCTGCTATGAGAATTGAAAAGCAATACTGCTAATTATTTGTGTTTGATGCGGATCCTTCCATTATTACCAAAGGCCGAGCACTACTTACTGGCTCTCGTGGGTTCGTGCATTGAATTAATAATGCTCTGTTGAATGTCGAGTGTTGACGAGCAATAATACATATATTAGAAGTTCAGAACCATGGCTTCTGGGAGGAAGGGCCAGACCCATTTGAGAGAGGTGGAAGACAACATATGCTCTGTTTGGAAATAGGATAGACTCATCATCGACAGTGATTTTATATCAACGGTTGGGAGGGATCAGAGACGGAAACGTCATGAGAAGTGGGAGTGTGGGATATAATAAAATAATAAAAAGACATTGCAAAAAGAAGGGTCGGTAATCAGCGCAAAGGTGGTCCCACGCTTGTGACCTCCGTTCAGCGTTCACTGTTCAGAGTATCCGAATTTAGAAGTGTTTGATAATTTACTAATTACGGTCGTCGGTTGCTTGAAGAAGGAGCCTTTTAGTTTTAGGCATCTTGTGCCTTGTGCTTTTGTATGAAGGGTAAATCGTATTCGTAGTCGGTGAAGGGACCGCTGGTGGGAGAAGAAAAGAATAAATACAAATTGACGGTACGAAGTTGAAAAGTAAGACAGTGAACGAAATTCCGAAACTTGAATGTGCAGGAACTCATTCAAAACCTGACACGGATTCACAGGGCAGCAGGGTCAAATTTTTTTAGACGGTAGGCAATTACTTAATACCTTATGTCTCTCAGAGTATAAGACAATCATGAATGAATTTTTTATCTTAAACTATAAATTTTTTTAAATAAATTAAAGTTTTATTAAATACACAGAATTTTAATGTTATATTTTCTTTTTTTATAATTAATTTTCATTCATTCTTTTTTTAATATATTAAGTATATTAAATAAATGATATTTTTAAAAATTTATATTTTATTTTAGAATGATAAAATTATTAAATATATTTAATAAAATTTTATTTAAAAATATTTTATAATTTAAGATGGATGAGTAATATTTTTTTACCTATTCATAATTATACCTTCAGGAAACTCAAGCATCCTTCATAATTGCTCGCCCTAGATTCGAACACATCTAATCCTTGTTATGGAGGAAGTGCTGGTGCCACAGTGGCGCACGCCACCGGCAGCAGCGAGTCAACTCGAATGAGTAACCAGGGATTAAAATTGAACGGCCTTCGAACCATGAACTTCTGGCTCAACGAGTTAGAGTGAGCGTTTAATGTTAAATTGTTAATCAATACGAATCTTTCTGATTCGATGATTAGGGTCCCACACCTCAGCCTTGTCCTTTTCCATTGTTTAGGATTTAGTCTTTTTCCATTTTTGGTTCTTCACAATCACATACCCCCCGCCCTAGCCCCTGTTGATTGTTTGGTTGTGCACTTTCTGTTCTTTTTTCTTGTTCTTGTTCCTTTTTTCTTTTGGGAGCAACTTGTGATTAGCGTTGTTGGATCGACTTTTTTTCTTTTCTTTTTTACGGATTTTACTCATGCTTAGCATTGAAGCAATCTTTTCAAAAATATTTAATTGGGTCGATCGAAATTATAATTTTTAAAAATATTATCTTCAAAGTTATTTTGTTGGTCAAATGGACTAAAATTAATGTGAGTAATAAAAGTTTTCATTATTTAAGTGGTTACGGATTTGAACCTTAACAATTAAATATGTAATTTAGTTAAGAGAGATCTAACTATTATTCTCAATACTTCCGTGGAGATATTTTTTATTCGGCAGAACCTACTCTTTATACTTACCATAAAACAAAATTTATTTTATTAGTTAAACTTATTTTAGGTGGGATTATATAGTTTAATTTTATCAAGAAACTTCATCGGGAGAATGATGAAAAAATCCTCCTAAAATATCTAAATGACAATTAGGTATTATGAAATGTAATAGTTCTTTTCAAGTGCTTTATATGGTTTGTCAATTTTTTTGTGAAAAGACAATTTTGCCCCTCAAAAAAATAAAAATAAAAATCCCAAAACCCAACCTCTCCTTCCCTTTTTGGCTAGTGAATTATGCCTAGTTTCTACACAACCATAAACATGCAAACCATAGCATTACTGACTTCCCCCCTCCACTATATTTGATGGGTAAAAAGAGGGTTCAAGTCAGGACACGCGGTGAAGATGGCTGTCCCTTCTCATCCTTCCTGTTTCAAAGCGGAGCGCAGTGATGGCAGCCTTAGGCTTTAGCTCCTATCCACCTTCATCCATTCTCTCCTTGAACCAGTGGAAACAGAGGAAGAGGAAAAAGAAGGAGGAGCCGAGGAAGAACATGATGGTGACGAGGCGGAGTATTGGGACGGGCATAATAAGAATGAGGAGGACAAAACGGGAATGAGAAAGATTCCAAAGCCAAGCATGTGCCATGAAAATGGGAACATGAGCATCCAAATACTTGACTGGGAGCCATTCTAGGCGTCTAGCTACTTGATTAACTGCAACTTTTCTCCCAAAATTTATCATTGTTGTTACTTTAATTTGCTACAGTTGTTGTCGTTACAAATCTAGTATATATTTTGTTCGTGTGTTTATGGCTGTGCAGAAACACGATGTAATTCACTGGCCAGAAGGGAAGGAGATTAGGTTTTGGAATTTTTTTATTTTTATTTTCTAGAGGAGTAAGAGTGCTTTTTTACAAAAATTTAAAATGACAAACAAGTCCTCAAAGACTTAAAAAGAATTATTACATTTCACAGTATCTAATTATCACTTAGATATTTTTGGAAGGTTTTTCCATCATTGTTGTAATTTTACAAAGTATTTTTAGGCTTTTACGAGAAAAAAAAAAAAAGTTGTTCGAACTTATTGTCTTCTAAGACATTTGCATAGAAATAAAACCCAAAAACAACCAACACATAAACGCATCTTTAATGATATGTGAGCCATTTAACAGTGAAAATTTGAAACGTTACATGGGTGACTAATGAATCTAATTAGCTTATGCTTGCCGACTTCCAAAATGGAGTAGCATCGTCTTACTGGCTGGTTGGATCATGTGTATCTATTGAGGAATGGACCAGCAAGTCAAAAAAGAAGCAGTGAACCTAGTTGATTTTAAGATTAGATAGAGTGGTCTTATGCTTAAGAATGGAGCCTGCCTTCACCAAAGTATGGTTGGGAATTGAAATTTCAATCCTATCTTCATCTTCAATAATCACTCGCTGTGGACCATCCATGAGCCCAACTATGAACATGACGAGTGTGCAAAACAGACTACTTCCTATATGGAGGAGAAGGGATGATGTTGGACCCTTGTATAATCGTAAGGCCAACCATTAATTCTGATAGCAAGTTGACTTCACCCTCTGTAACAACAGCCCTCACTGCAACAAACTTTCTGCGAATTCACGTGCTTCTAACTAATTACTCTATGTTCTTTTCTCGGCTCTAGTTCTTCCACTTGTTTTTACACAAGCATTTGATTGATATCAGGGGGTTAAATTTAATTGTGTCAGGTTTAATTGAGACTAATTCTTCTTCAATTCACATTGTTCAATGCATGTCACGTTTCAATTCTCACATGCGTGGCCTCATGACTAGTCATGCTCAAGCTCGTTTGAGCAATTTTATATCTCTAATTTGGAAGCTTGCAGAACAAGATTAAAAGGGGAGGATGGAGATAGCATCATAGGAATTTACTAATTTCATGTAGTTAGGATTTTAAATTGAGACGATAAAGGATTTATGTTTAATCGCTGTGCCAGGTCTGCATGTGGCCTTCCGTAGACATGCGTGAGCGAATTAATAACCCTGAAGAATAAGGCATTATTACCACCGATGGCTAAAAGCAGATAACAGTCCGCCAAGGATTGCTCAAGCCAACTTTCTTCCTTGTTTTTAATCATAGGATGAGTTATGGTTTTTGGGGCCCAGCTAGAAGTCTGACACACACAGTGGTCTTCACTATCTAACGTCAAATAATATCCAAGAGTTTTTTTTTAAACAAGGAAGATATTATCTCATAAATTTTGGGCCTCTTAATGGGCCAAATTTATGGAGTGCAGGCGAAGCT